TAGGGGGCTCACGGCAGAGGCAGGCAACTGAAGGCCCTGAGAGGCACCGTCCTGGAGGCAGAGGGGCGGACCCCCCAGGTGAGAGTGGGCACCCCAAGACAGGGTCACCACACTGGAGTGGACCCCTGGGGAGGGGCTGTCTCACTGCCGTGGGAGAGGAGTGGGCTCCCCGAGAAGGGGCTGCCGCACTGGAGAGGGGGGTTCCACCCAGGAGCCGAGGAGCCAAGTGTGGGCACCACCTGTGAGCTGTGACACCCCGTAAACTGGATCTAAGCTGGAAAGCAAGCCTCATGTGCAACAGAGTGTCTGCTCACTGACAGGCCACCAAGTGCCCCTCACTTAGCCTCCCTCTCCACATGCTCCAGGATGTGCCTGGCACCTCCATCCCCCTATGCCTCCCCAGTTCTAGTTCCAGCTGTCAGGACAAAGCAGCCAAACACCAATAAAACCCTCTAAGCGGATACAGCTCCATGTCTCAGGGAGGCAGGCGTAGTACAAGAGCCTCCTCTCAGAGCAACCATTTCCCAGGCTAACCACAACAATAGGGGAGGGAAAGGAATAGAGATACACCATATGTATCCCAGAAGGGAGAAGACTAGGTTCAACATGCTCACCAGGGACCTGCCATGCAGCCAGAAGGCTCCTGGGAAGCACCAGGGGTTGCAGTGACAGCTGCTTAGTGAACAAACATGCACACGCACACACACCACTGACAGGCTCCTCTGCCACCCTTACAGCAGAGCGCCGGGTGCAGCATGTCACAGATCATAGCCAGTGTTCCCTCTGTGCTGTGGGGCAGCCCAGCTTGCCTAGCTGACTGACTGGGCACTGACTGATTAATCACCTGTGAAGTCGTGCTGCCCCACAGCTTAGAGCAGCGTTTCTCAACCAGTGGTACAAGTGCCCCTTAAGGGTACTCGAGAGAAGTCTGGGGGATACGCCAAAAAATGTCTGGGATTTTTCCCTGCAAAGGGGATCGAGGAGGGGGCGGCGGCACGTGCTTGTCAAATTGAATGTTTGGAGCCACGCACCTGGACGGTAACAGCTGCTCTGCGCACGTGCTCCAACACTAGTGGGAAAAGTGCATGGCTCTGGTGAGACCCGGAGCAATTTCAAGTCGGGGGGAGGGTATGAGTGGGGAGAAAAAAAAATCACTTCCACGGCTGCCTCTCTTAGTTCGTTTCCTCCCTGGGGTGCTTCAGCAGGGAGGGCGGCTGAACCTGGTAACGTGCATTACCCCTATCCCCGCCAGCAGCTCGGTGCAACCCGTCCCCTTTCCTGTGGCGCTGCGGAGAGGAGCTAAAAGGCAGTGAAGCAGCACAATGAACTTTGTTCCAAAGGCCGCCTCCCCACCCCAGCATCAGTGGTGTAGCAAGGGGGGGCAGTTCCCCCAGGTGCCATGCTACGGGGGTGC